GGCTGTCAGCTACTATCTTTCTTGCAAAAACCCCAGGCACAGGAGACATTGCTATACTGTTTATGTTCCATCCAAAGCCCAAAGCTCCTTAGCCCTTCTCTGGACTGTCCCTGGGATCCTGTAAGCCAATCTTTTACCTAAGCACACTCTCACTGTATCACTGGGCACATTACCACACAGACTTACAACTAATTAATTACCCCCTGACACTAGGTTAAAAGTCCAAAACTTTAAAAACAATTACTTTCACTTTTTATAAAGCGGCTTTTTTTTTTTTCCCAAAAGATGACCGGTAAGGGGATTTCAACCCTTGGCTTGGTGTTGTCAGCACCACGCTCAGCCAGTGAGCAAACCGGCCATTCCTATATAGGATCCGAACCCGTGGCCTTGGTGTTATCAGCACCGCACTCTGCTGAGCCACGGGCCGGCCCATAAAGCGGCTTTTATTATTTTAATTACAGCAATACCGAATTCAAGCAAGCTTCATAAACAATGAACCCATATTTACTGGGCACTTCCAATATTCCTGCCACCATTATCCTCCAGGGAAAGTTTGAAGGAAAGCTAGCCAACTTTGTGAAGACCTAAAGTCTTCCTAGCAGAGAATTACAGGTAGATAGGGACACAGGCTATGTACCTTTCCCAGCATCCTAAATCATAATATGGATTCATCTTCTGTACTTTTTAATGTGCTGAGTATCAGACATATGATATTCAAATATTAATACAAAAATATATCCAAAAGAAAATAAAGATGAGTTTAGGATCATCTACCATTTGACACTTCATGCCTTCTTTATCCTTATATTAGAAAACAGAAACTTGATGCTGGCCAGTTAGCTCAGTTGGTTAGAACACAGCCTTGTAACACCAAGGTCAAGGGTATGAATCCCAATACTGGCCAGTCCCACCAAAAAAAGAGAATAGAAACTTGGACAATAGTTCTAAGTTTAATATTTTTTAAGAGAAGTTTGGGCAAAATAAAATCATTATTTTATTTATTTTGGGCAAAATAAAACAGATTTCACATTTACTATTAAACCACCTACATCTTTAAAAATAGGGGAGGGTCAGCCACCCCATCAATACAGGCAAAAACCATTATCAGATATGAAGGCAGTTAATTTCCCACTGCACACTGGTAAACTTTACATCTTCAGCAAAAGTGTGCCCTACCACTGACAACTGTTACATGCGTTTCATTTGACCAATGTATTAACAGAATTAAAATGTAAGATGCTGCTTACCAGTGCCTGCCACTGAATGAACCACCAGCCAAATGGTGACTCACGTTCAGAGTTTAAGTCTGAACTTAACAAATGAGACCCAGAGAAACTTCTTGCCAAGATCACATACCCTAATGGGAAGGCTGGATCTGAAACGAGGCAGGGTTGTACCAAAGAGCAAACACCTAAGCAAAGGTGTGGATAACATGAACACCTGCAACGGCAGAGCTCTTGGGCTCCTCCTTCCTATTGGTGGCTACCTTGGCAACTTTCGCTTCTGCCCTGGAAAACCACAAATAACCCTTGAACACCTGTAGCTCAACATTTTCCCACACTGACTGTACCATCTAACCATGAACCTGAGTAAGTTTCATTGTGATTAGCTCTATGTTCAGAAAGTACTCCCCTAAAACCAGAACCAGCTGTGGTCCACTCCACAGGATTTGGGGATAAACTCCCTCATCATATTGGTGTTCATAGGGAAAAGGATTCCAGAGCTTTCATGATATTGTCAAACGGGTCTACGACCTAACAACAACAACAAAATAATAACTGCTAACATTTGCGAGCCTGGGACAGATCAAGTGTGATAAATTTGTGGTTAAACAAGCTCCAGCACTTTCCCAACCTCTATACACAGATAACCATTCTCCCTCATTACAGTCAGGGCTCAGGTGTAGAGGCAGGTGTGGTCAAGATGACAGCTGGGAGGTGGTCATTTTCAGATATAAATTTAAGT